GCGAATTAAAAATACCTGGTGCCATATATAATTCAATTATTTCATCTCCAACTGTGCTGAACTCACAAACCAAATAAAATTATCAATTTTAGCTTGATCTACAATAATCAACACAATATGAACGACCCGAACATACTCAACCCAACCCAAACATACTTGACCCAAACTTAACCTGATACCTAAATTGACCCGACTTGAATGACCCATTTGTCATGTCTTAAATAAATCTGTCACGAATTACTCTGTATGAATATATAAGACTATATTTTTGTCACCCATTATGCTAAAAATAAAAACTTCACTTTGCACTCATTTTCGTCTTGAAATACCACATCCATATTATTTACAACGATTAGACATTTTTCTTTTCTATTTTATGTTAAATCGTTACAAATAATATGAAACAGAGGTAGTAATTGTATGGACAAATTTCAATCTCCAATCTAATATGGTCATGAATATGATTCATTGAACACCAAATGTAGGCAAGCAAAGTAGCTGCGTAGAGAGGCCACATGGCCACTTTATGGTACACGATTTTTAAATATCACCCAATTGGCCACTTGGTTTAGAAAATTGGCATTCATACGTAGTATGGTTTAGCTTAGCACAATAGCACCCACATGCATGCTATTTTAGTTATATTATCTTCTCTACCTATATGGCCATATAGCTCCATTACTATTTAAAGTAAAATTAATTTATTAGTCTAATTAACTTCATATAGCAGTTCGTTGCATTTGTAAAACTGACTATGGAGTATAGTATAATTTTTAAAAAATAAGTCGGAATATATTATGGAATTATTATTAGAGTAAGAATAGACGACTATACTAAAAAATAAAAAATAAATAAAAATACATAGATTAAGTTGAAATTTAAACATAAAATGGGTACAGATTTATAGTGTGGTACAACAAAATAATGGGTAAGGTGTATTAAAAAATTATAAATTTTTTTTCTTATTTTGTATACTATCTATCTATCTATTTTTAGTTTTGCCTAGGAAATCCATTATGTAATAATAATACTAATAATGATTTTTTGAAGATAATATTTATAATTGACCATTTGTGTTATAATTCTCTAAAAACTTCTATATTAAAATCATTAATAATTTAAAAAATCGAGCATGATTTAAGAATTATCTAATTCTCTATACCATGCTAAATAATATTGAATTTAGCATTTGCCACTTGAACTTTGGACAGTAGCTAATAAGCTATCATGATACTTGATAGTCTATTTTATTTCTACTTGTAACATTTGATTTTAAAATTGTTTAAACTAAAACCAATCCCTACATATGAGGTCACATTTTGTTTTCTATGGGCTCACCGCTCACCCTTCCAATTTTATTCATTGTTTTGGTTAAAATATGTTTTCTACATTCAACTAATCTCTCTATTATATTCTACGAAGTAATAAAAAATTATTGTAAATCATGTAAGGTAGATAACTAGATATGTCTAAGGGCATGTTCACATTTACTAAAATGAGTTGAACTAAATTAAAATGATTGGAGCTGAAATGAACTGAACTGAATATTTTATGAGACAAGAAAATTAGGAGATAGACTGAACTGAATTGAACTTAACTTATTGGAGCTGAACTGTTCTGAACTGAATTGAAATTAAATAAATATGAACAGAACCTAAATGTGTAATATGTTTTTATTCATTTTTTTATTACTAACACAAAATTGCAAGCTTCTCTACTCCATTTATTTGTATCCTTTACAATTCTTTTTTATGTTAAAATTGGTAATATTTTTTTTTTAAAATTAACAAATCTACCTTTTTCTACCCCATACAACCACCATACAATCATACATGCTAAATTACTACTACTCTACTAGTGATTAATGGTCTCAATTCATGTTTCTATCCAAAACAAACTACGGTACTGTACTATTTTGACCATTTAAAAAATATTGAATGCTTAATAAAAGTAATTATTGGCAATTTAATTAGCTTCATGAATATTAAATTTCTTTTATTTTTAGATATTGATGAATGCAAGGAATTTAATGATTGTGAGAAGCCAGAGTATTGTGTCAATCAAATTGGAAGTTATGATTGCAAATGTCCAAAGGGCTTCCACGGGAATGGGACTAAAGCCCAACCTTGCAGTTCTGATAAAAAGTCTTGGATCATACCCGTTGCGGCCACAGCAGGTAATAAAGACCTAACTACTTAATTTAAGTGTCGTTGTCTCGTGACATATAGTAATGTTTGTGTTTTAAATAAAACTAGCCTTTTGGCCCGTGCAATGCACGGGTTATTCATATAAAATTGTATTGAGAGATAAGTGAGAAGATATCAGTAAGTCATTATAGGGTATAATATGAAATCGGAAAAATTGTATTGAGAGATAAGTGAGGAAATATCAGTAAGTCATTATAGGGTATAATATGTAATCGGAAACATGATTAAAGAAATTAAAATTTTGGAACTTTAATCGAAAAAGAGGCTTAAATAGAAGGTGGAAGGGCTAAAATTAAAGAGAGAATAGGAAAAGGTTGAATTAAAGGGGGTAGATGAAATGTGTATGAAAGATGAAGTATAAGTTTAATGAAAGAATTTTAAAAAAATGGTGTGATAAAAAATTAATAGTGTAAGATGACATATGTCACTATGGTCAAAAAATCTTGCGTGGACCTGAGATTTATACATACGTAGCTGGCATTATATTCAACATAGTGTCCTTAATTTTAATATAGTAACCTTTTTAAAAACTTGTGCGACCTTTAATGTTATTATGAAATTAAAGTACGACATTATGTTGATAGTAACTTAATTTTAACATAGAGGTGTTTATTATTCATATTGACCATTGAATTAAAAATTTCATTAAAAAAATTATTAACCTCTTATTGCTTATGACCTAGTACCTTTTATTTCAACATAATAACCTTTATTTTAATATAGTGACTTTTTTTTATTAACAAAACAATCATATTGTCTCTAATATTGGTGGACCACAATAAATTAGTGTGAACCAGGTCCATTTAAGAATTTGTACACTATGGTTAGAGAAGTGTAATAGAATGAATGAAGACATGTGTCTTTCTTAGATTCGTGGTTATAGTTTTTAAATACCAAGTATAGATGTAAAAGTCACTAAGTGTTTTTTTTTTATTTTTTTTTTCTAATTTATTTGATGATTTATGATTTTCGCACACTCGTAGGCGTTGCGGGTGCTATGATAATTCTACTTGTAGTTGGTTTTATTCTGTATTGGAAAAACGGAAAAATTAAAAACCAAAAAATGCGGGAAAAGTTTTTCCGGCAAAATGGAGGTTTACTTCTACATCAGAAACTCTCGGGTCGTAAGATTGACTGGTTAAAGGTTTTTACGGCACAAGATCTTGAAATAGCGACGAACAATTATAGTGAAAAATATGTGATTGGAAGAGGAGGTTTCGGCATTGTTTACAAAGGAATTTTAACCAATAACAATCAACATATCGCGATCAAAAGATCACTCAAGGTGGATCCACGCCAAGTTGAGCAATTCATCAACGAAGTTCTTGTTTTATCACAAATCAACAACAGAAATGTGGTCAAGTTACTAGGTTGTTGTCTTGAGACCGAAGTACCACTATTGGTGTACGAGTTTATTACCAATGGTACGTTATATGACCACTTAGTCGATGCAGTGAAGGCATCGATTTTAACGTGGAACACACGTCTAAAGATAGCATTGGAGGTTGCTAACGTGTTGTCGTATTTGCACACCACAATCTCAACACCGATTATTCATAGAGATATGAAGTCGATGAACATACTCTTAGATGATAATTACACGGCTAAGGTAGCCGACTTTGGAGCTTCAAGGTTGGTTCCGGAGGACAAAGGTCAAATAGCCACAATGGTACAAGGAACATGGGGGTACTTGGATCCGGAGTATATGCAAACAAGGAAATTAACTGAAAAGAGCGATGTTTATAGTTTTGGTGTCGTCTTAGCAGAGCTAATAACTCGAAAAAGGGCAATATGTTATGATAGGGCCGATGATGAGACTAGTCTTGCTATGCACCTAATCATTCAAATGAAAGAAGGTCAATTATTGAGTATTCTTGACAAAACAATAGTAAGTGAGGGTACAATCGAGCAAATTCAACAAATGGCTAATCTAGCTACGTGGTGCTTAATGGTCAAGGCCGAAGACAGGCCGAGCATGAAGGAGGTTGCCATAGAGCTCGAGACAATAAAGAGACTAGGCTCGCAGCCGTCGTGGAGTAGTAAGGATGGATCGTTTCAAGAAGACGGTGTTTGTGAAACATTGCTCAAAGGATATCCAAGATCCGGTACTACTACTAGTGGTTGTAGTAGTAGTATGGAGGTTGACTTGTATAATCCACGTTTAGATTCAATTTTAGCTGATGGAAGGTAATTAATTACATGTATCTATATGTAACTAGTGAATATCCTGGGCGATGCTCCCGATTAACTTTTTGTAATCTGTATATGTCTAATGTCCAGTGAGAAAAATTTTAATGTCGTGACATTATAAGTAATTATTTGATAATATAATGCATTTTTACTTAGGGTTTTCGATTTAATTTAGATATTAGTTTTTAATTTTGATGTTTTCCGTTTGATTTCCACGTTCTAGAAGCTAAGGTTTCTACTCTTGAATATGTTCCGATCCTCACCAATCAAATACTTAGGTATGATAAGTTATCGATTATACAATTTATATTTGGCTAAAAGATAAAAATGATAGATACCAATTCAATGAAAAAACTAATACTCCGTAATTATTAATGATATGATATGGAAAATGACACATAGATGACCTGATATCAACCTAATAATAAGGTAAAAGCTTAATAATTCTTTCTCAAAAAAAAAATTATGATTACTCTAATTCAAAAAAAATGATCTTATTTGAATATTAAATTTAGTCAACCCAACTAAAATTCGGGTAAACACTAAAAAGATCTAGTCGAAATTGACTAATATTGAATCAACCTTGTCTTAATCAAAACGAAAGTAACCGAACCAGAATCATCTAAACCAGAATCATCCCAATCTAAAGTCATTCGACCAAAACAAAACCAATTAAACCCGTTTTGAACTCGAACCGAATATGAACATATCTGAATTTGACTTGACCCAGACTCAACAAATAATAACATGAAATTGACCTGACTTGAAGTGACTCAAGGCGAGTTAATAGGATATTTTTGTAACCCGAACATACCCGACCACAATAGATTAACCCAAACTCCATCCAATTATCTAGATCAGAATTCCTAATTGACACCTCTACTATGGGGTTGCAACTCTAAAAATATTATTAATAAAAAAAATTACAAAGAAAATTGACTGTTCCGTTAAATCGGTTAAATACGTCTTTCTCAACCTCAGAAACATTATCCATTCAATCAAAGTAGCAACACTACACAGGATTAGCTTACAGAAGCTTTCACTTTGACAACTATGGCTGCTTCTGCTCTGCTTTCCCCTCTCGGTATACTTTTCTCTCTCCTCCTTCCCCTGGCCTTTATTGCTCTTCTTAATCAAATTCTTTACATTTATGTCAAATTCCCCTTTTTTTTCTCATATTTGTTATCAATTTAATTAATTGATTTGCTTTTGGGTTCAGTATTATATGCTCAATAAGTAGGAAAGGAACTTTTAAATATAAAAACCCATCTGTTCGGAAATAATAGTCACATTGCCTATCCTAATATCGTCGAATTTGGGATTTAGAGAATTTCTTTAGGATATAGTGGATGTCCATAAATCGATCTTTTATTAATAAGCTGCATTTTGCTATTTGAGTTAATTAATTTGATTTTATGTATTTTTCCATTTTACTAATTTGGGTGGCTTTGTAGCTTTTAGTGGTTTGACCAATTATTATACAAACAAGGCAAAACAGAACACACAATGTGTTGTTATTCAATGTTCGAAAATGAGACATGCTCCACTTGAACTGTCATCTATGGAAGGCTCTAGATTGAATTTATATTATCGTCGGAATGTTGTTGGATTGCTTCTTGGACTTTCTTGTCTCAGAATAGGCTCCAATGAGGCGATCGCGAATGCAGCAGGCTTGCCTCCAGAGGATAAGCCAAAACTATGTGATGAAGCCTGTGAGAAGGAGCTTGAAAATGTAGGTGAGATTGCTTACACCTTTTACTAAGCCTTCTCTTTATAACTAGAATAACTTACATTAATTACACATTCGAAAAACTGTAGCATTAATATTATGTATTTCATGTCATCTTGCATTTATATTTCTATGCAATTGATAAAGAAATCAAAGGGCTTTATAATAACCCAAGCGGGCTACTCCTCCTATTGTCAATTGGTTTTAGGATGGAACCTCGCTGTGAGCTCTGGTTTGTTGCCTCTCTCCCTTGTGTTCTCTCCCATCTGTTATAACAAACACGAAACTAAAAGGGTGAGGACTTGCCAATGTAGTTTTGGATAATGTCTGTATGTATCCATTGCTACAACACGATATCCTTGTTAAATCCCGTGCTCTGATGCTGATATCAAAAGCTGCATAGGGGTCGAACAAGACCTGAGAGAGAGATTATGAGATGCATTGACAAGATTAAACTTTCTTTACAATTGACTGATGAGGCAGCTAATAAAATAGGGCCAATCTTTTCTGTTAATTCACATTTTGAGTTTTTAAGACTTGTAACCATGATGTACCAAACCTTTGAGGTTGAATGATCAAACCCCCTTCTGCCCCGAAAGCCCTCCAAACTATTTTGTATCTAAACAAACAACAGGTAGTTGTAGTTGCATTAGAATTTTGATAGATATCGAGGTTTATAAGCATAGTAAGTATTAATTTGCATATGGATCTTCCTTTATGTTCTATACGACGTACTAATTTTCAAAGCTTCCTCCTCTTTGAAGGTACCCATGGTAACAACAGAATCTGGATTGCAGTACAAAGACATTAAGATCGGTGATGGTCCGAGTCCACCAATTGGTTTTCAGGTATATTTAAGAAACTGTTTTTAAAGTCTGAAATCAACTACAGACTGTACTTAAAACTATTTATTTCATCAGAAATGCTTGTTATTACAGACAACTTTCATGTTGGTTTCATGTAGCTTGTTTGACTGCAGGTTGCTGCAAACTATGTTGCAATGGTTCCTTCCGGACAGATTTTTGACAGGTAATAACTAAGATTTACTTATCAGATTACTTTGCATCATTTTATCTTTGTCAAATTAAGGGGTCAATTGAATTATTTTGTACAAGTATTTACAAAATTTAAGTATCAGTGGTTTATTACTGAACCTATTGCTGCAGTTCTCTTGAGAAGAATCAGCTTTACATCTTTCGAGTTGGCTCGGGCCAGGTAAATGAGAGTCCTTGATGTAATATACACTTTTGAGTAGTTGTTCCTGGATAAATCAATAAAAATAGTCAACCTCCTCTAATTTTGATACATTAGTTCTCGAATTACTGCTAATATTGTTAATTGCTAGAACAGGTGATCAAGGGACTTGACGAAGGACTCCTTACAATGAAAGCTGGTGGTAAACGGAGACTCTACATTCCTGGACCTGTGAGCATTTTCGCCTTATCTTGCTTTCAAATTTTTCTCTGGTTTGATTTATATCTACTCAAACAGCAAATGTTCTAACTTAACACTAATTTTCATGTTTTAAAATGTGATCTTATGCTTGGCTGTTGTTTGTTATTTAGCTTAAGAAAAGCTAATCTGTTTCCGTTCTGTTGAGCAGTTGGCATTTCCAAAAGGCCTGACCTCAGCTCCTGGAAGGCCTCGTGTTGCACCCAATAGTCCGGTTATCTTTGATGTAAGCTTGGAATACATACCAGGTCTTGAGACAGAGGAATAGAAAACTGGTGAACACGCCAACTCCTTCGTTTTGTACTACTTATTCCTGTGATTCGAGGTGGAAGCTAAACTATGCAAGCTAGCTAGCTCTTCTACAACATAATTGCGACTCTTTGTACATCTTAATACATGCCCTTAAATAATGTACAAAATCAGTTTATTCTTGAATTGGCTTTGCATATTTATAACATACAATGTGAATGAGTGTCAATTTTTTCCTACTAAAGAGATAATACATCCATTTTCTAGCAGTTACTTCTTGATCCAACTGCATCTCCGTGCCACGGTTTTTTTTTATCTGAAAGGCGCTGCTGTAGTATTATACCAACATATGTTGGTAAAAATTGGTTAATTACAGGGAGATATAATGTCTATTGTCTTCCAAGTTTATGTCGTCTTTGGAATATCTTACAAAGAGACTAGTAAAGAAACAAAAGCCGTTTTAAGCTATGCTAGTTGAACTCTTCATTGAATAACTAAGTACCCGTATTGAATCTTTAACACTTGTTTCTGGTAATTACCCGAGTCAAAGCAACATAGATTTAATTAAAATCAAAATGAAATGTTACAAATCTAAAATGACAAAAAAAAAAAAATATACAAGAACTCAGGTCAAACTTTACATTGTTAATTATAGAATTAATTGATACAACATAATAACCAAATTTACAATTACTAGTAAAAACTAATTAATATTAACACCATTTAACAAATCATGGTTTACATTAACAAATATGGGTGGGTTCTTTTCACCGTAACTAAGTAACTAACCAACCCGGATCAATCCGTTTTTTTATTTTTTAAAAAGGTGAATAGAACCCACTCTTAATCCAATTAATCGATCTAACCCAATCCAAGATAAGCCGTAGTAGCAACCCCAAGCGCGTAAACCCCAATCACAGAACCAACCAAACCACCACCAACTCTCCCAACCATACCAACCCCAGCAATCCCAGCAACTCCAACACAAACCTTCCTCGCCGCCGCCTTCGAGGCATTCGTAACAACAGCATCAGTAAACACAACAACAGCAAACTCTCTAAACTCGTCGGAATCTAGGGTTTCCTCCGGCGGAGAGCTCCGGCGAATTGAGCGGTACGCGCCGTCGATTTGCGCGCGTGAGGGAGGGGAAGGACACCACGTGGCAATCAGAGGAGAGGAGAGAGAATTGTGGAGACGGAGAGTAGCGTCGGGAAGTTGGTAAGCGAAGATTTTGCCCGGAGAAGTGTGGTGAGTTAGGGTTTGGAGATCGGAGAAGATGGTGTTGCAGGAAGAGGTGAATTCTGGGGAGGAGCGAAAATGGTGGCTGACTTTCTTCGATGGTGATATCCCCATTGATGACAATCGATTGTGTGGTGAATTGACTTTAGAGATTTTCTACTTTTTAAGCCCTATAAATAAAATATAAAGATTTTAATTAATTTGTTTTAAAAACTTGAAAAACAACAACAACAAAAATTTCCATTGAGAATAGAGGTCAAGAAAAAAAAACCCTACTTTCAAGCATTTTTTTAGTTAGTAGGGTTCGAATCAAACCATCGAATCTGAATGGGTTTTAATTCAAACCAACGCTTGATAGGTGTATGAATATCACCCACATCACTTACATACATGGAAACTCAATCACGTCAAAGAAAAACAGTATCAAGCAAAACCAATACACCCTCTTTGTTTTTTTTTTTAAGTGTTACACTTTGACCGATACATAATTTTAGACAATTTAATTGACTTAAATAAAATAAGAGGTAAATGGGGTAGTTGGAGTATTAAAAAATTGTAAAAGAAAGATAGTGGGGTTAATAGTTTTTTGAAAAATAATAAATGTGAGAGGAGATATATAATAATAAAAAAATAAAAAATATAGGCCAAATTAGAAAATAACACCTGTTAAAAGACCTAATTTTGTTTTTAGCACCTTAAGATTTCGAAGTTTAATTATAACACCTGTTAAAAAATAAAATTTTGCTTTCACCACCAGATAACAGAAACTGTGACGGAATATTTTGGTGGGGCCCACATAGTCGTTTACCCTCCAAATTCCATCCCCTTCAATTCGAATTTATCTTCTCTGTCATTTATTACCACCCAACTAATTTTGCTTCATTGAATTTCGTCTGCAAATCTTGAACAACCAAAATTACTGCGAACATTCAAACCCTATGCTGACTGTTGTGATTGAGAAATTGAGTTGGAAGAGGAGGTGTCAATATTGGAGCGAAACAAGTCAGCGAGATTCCGTCAGCCATTTCCAACATCCAAAAAGCTTGGACTTTTTCGTGGATTCTGACAGCAACAGGAGTAAGATTCCAATACAGGTACCTTTCGAACCCTTTAAAGTAGTTTTCAACAAGTATTGTGTGCTGCATTATGCCATTTGTGTGGGTGTAGTAGGGTAATTTGGGAAAAAAAATTAGGAACCCTAAGAACAGTAAAATGGGTTAATTTGTAATTAAAGTTGAATTTGATTAAATTAAGTATGATTTGGTGTAATGTGTGAATTATTTAGTTTAAATCATTGATTTTATTGACTGTTGACTGGTTTGTCATTGTGTTGGTTTAAATATGTTTGATTTTGTTGATTAAAGTATTGCGGTTGACTGTGTAATGGGGTTAGCTATGTTGGGTTTTATTGATTTGCTTTGCATTTGTTTATTAGGTAGAAAAATGGCCGACAACGAAGATGGATTAATTGATATAGTATTTAGAGTAGGGGGTGCTTTTGTTACTAAACAAGTGTCAAAATCAAAGCATTTGCTTTGTTGGTGTGGTGGGTTATGTTATTGGAGGAGGGATGTGGTAGTGGATAAGATAGATTTGCATTATTTGAGGGTAGCTGTTGTGCATGGGTTTGTGAACTTTAATGTCCATGTCCCACCTAACTACAGACTTTGGTATAAAGAAAGAGGTAGGACCTTTAACACAGGGAGAAGGGAGTTAGTAAATGAAGAGGAAGTGAAGGGGCTGCTGGAGACAGTGAATGGGGAAGGGTATGTTGAAGTATTTGTGACTGCTAATGAAACATTAAGGCCCATACATGAGATCCAGGCCCAGTCCACTCCAGTAAAGGTTGAGAAAAAGGGGAAGAAAAGTTCAGGTAAGCCTGCTGTAGTTAGGAAGAGCCCAAGAATTAACAAAAATGAGCCTAAGGTGAGGGAGGGTGAAGAATCTCCTAAACCTAGATCTAGACAGGGGATAGAAAGGGTTGAAGGGGTTTCTGCTGAGATTAAGGGGGTTCCTGGTAAAGGGAAGTTGTTGAGTAAGGGGAAACAAAAGGGTAAAGCTAAGCTTGAAAGGGGTTCTGGCAGTGTGAAGGTGTTGGATAAGGGAAAGGGAAAAAAAAAATCTGTAGGCAAAGGATTGATTTTTGAGGATAGTAGTGAGGGCAGTGAGACTGGGAGGGAAGATGATTTTTCTTCAAGTGATGGGAGTGAGATTGACATAACTTGGGAGCCTGGAGAGGAGGAGTATGACAGTGGGGATGAGAGGTGGTTTGTGCAGAATTCTGAAGAAATTTTAGCTAAGGTAACAAGAAGTCTTGGGAAGCAGTTTGATGTACATGATGAGGGGGTTTCCAAGGATCCAAAGGCAAGGTTGACAGATAACTTGGATGTGAATGAGGTACAACTACAAGAAGAAATTGAGGGAGAATCAGATGACCTAAGGAGCTTGGATGGTTCATCTGATGAAGAGGACAAAAGTCCATGGTTTGATGACAAATCTGACTTCTCAAAGCCTGTTGTACTTGTTCATAGGCTTAGGTTTAGCAATGCTACAGTGTTGAGGAAAGCTTTAAGAGTGCATGCCATACAGAATAGGTATGAGTACTATTTTTTACACAATGATAGTACTAGGATTACTATTCAGTGTAGGAATAGGTGTGGGTGCAAGTTTGACACAAAGACAAGTAGGATGCCTTTGTGTATATGCAGGGGTGGAGTGAAGTGTAGTTTCAAGATCCATGCTACTAAGTTAAAAAGACAACAGACTTGGCAAATAAAAACCATGAAGTTGGAGCATAAATGTGTGAGAAGCAGGGAGAACAAGAAGGTCACAGCAGAGTTCATTGCTGAGAGGTATCTTGAGGAGTTCAGAACTAACCCATCATGGAAGGTTAAGCAAATCAAGGATAGGGTGCTTCATGACTTGGGGGTAGAAGTGACCTACTACAGGGCTTGGATGGCAAGATGTAGAGCTAAGTTGATCATTTTTGGTTCAGCAAGAGAGCAATATGCTAGGGTATGGGATTATGGGAAGGCTGTACTGAAATACAACCCTGGGTCTGGTCGTAATGTTGTGATTAATGGCATTGAAAAGCCTGAGCCTCCCTTGTTTATGAGGATGTTTATTTGTTTAAGGCCTTTGAAGGATGGGTTCTTGAAGGGTTGTAGGCCAATTATAGGGGTGGATGGCTGCCACTTGAAAGGAGGTTATCCAGGCCAGATTTTAGTTGCAGTCTCCAAGGATGGGAACAACAGCATTTACCCCATTGCTTGGGCAACTTGTGAGGTTGAAAACAGGGAGACTTGGGTCTGGTTTCTGGAATCCTTGATGCAATGCATTGGAAGTGCAGATGGGGCAGGCTTCACCTTCATGTCAGACAGGCAGAAGGTAATATTGTTTTGATTATTGTAGTCTTATTTTCTGTCCTGTTCTTTATTGTTTGAAGTGTGACAAGTAATTGTTGATGATGTTAAACAGGGACTGGTTGAAGCTCTGTCTGAAGTTGTGCCTAATGCAGAGACTAGGTTCTGTGTTAGGCACATTTGGGCAAATTTCAAGTTGAAGTTCACTGGATCAGTTTTCAAAGAGCTCTTTTGGAGTGCTGCAAGAGCAACAACATTTGTAAGTCTCTAGGTGACCTACTCCATGTAATAATGTTCCTGTTGTGTATAAAAGCAAAATAAGAGCAACAACAGTTGTGTATGTTATTCTTTCATGATAATTTTCCTGTTGTGGTTGTAGGTTGAGTTTCAGATAGCCATGCAACAGATTAGGGAGCTTGATGAGGATGCTTACAATTATTTGGAGAACATCCCCACTCATCACTGGTGCAGACATGCATTCAGTGACAGTTGCAGGTCCAACATGTTACTAAACAACATGTGTGAGACTTTCAACTCTGTTATCAGAGATGCAAGAGACAAACCTATCCTCACCCAAATGGAATGGATGAGGAGGTACATGATGAGGAGAAATAATGAGAAGTGGGAGGACTCCAAGGAAATCACAACCAACATCACTCCATATGTGCATAAGCTATTTCAGAGGATGAGCTATGTGGCTAGGAATTGCATAATTGAAGCTGCAAGGGATGACACTTATGAAGTGCAGCTGAATGATGACCAGGTTCTAGTTGACTTTCCAAATTGGTCTTGTTCCTGCAATCACTGGCAATTAACAGGCATCCCATGTATTCATGCATTTGCATGCATAATGGATCAGAGGGTTGATGCTGAGCAGTTTGTCCACCCCTATTACACTATGGACACTTACAGAGCAGCATATGAGCCTGCAATTCAACTATGCCAGGCCCAAAGCATTGGGAGAGAGTGAACATGAGAGAGCCTCATCCACCAGCATTCAAACAGCAGCCTGGAAGACCTAAACAGAAGAAGAGGAAGCTGGAACCTGGGGAAGGAACATCTGCAACAGGAGGGGAGAAGGGAAGAAAGAGGAGGAAAAGTCAGTGTAGGATTTGTGGTGGATTTGGCCACTATCCCAAGACTTGCAAGGGCCCACATGAACCTGAACCAACTGAGCAGAGAACTGCAGGAAGGCCTCCTTTAAATTCACCTTGGGTAGTTGAGCAAAGGAAGAAGAGGGAGATCAAAGCTGCTAAGAAGGTATGCTGTTGGATTTATAACTTTTCTTTTAAAATTTGTGATGAAATTGGATGTTGATACTTGTTTATTGGTATTTGTGTTTAATAAACAGAGTGCAATAGGGGCTGGTCCAAACAACATTGGGAATAGGACTTTTCCCCAAGAGCAACCTGGCTGTGAACCATTGAGTAAGAGGAAAGGTTCACACAGTCAACAAGGGCAGCCACAAGCCAAGCATCACACCACCCCCTCTTCCAGCCAACCTGAACCCAATGCTACTGGAGTGCAGACAAGGAGGGCTAAGCTGCTGACTTCCAGACAAGGAGGGCTGACACAATGATGTTTGAATTGTTTTTCTGAACTTTAGTTGTTGGTTGTATTTTCTGAACAATCAGTTGCAATATTTGTAGCTTTACTTTTGGGTTTAGGACAAGGATCCTGTTTTGTTAAATTAATACTTTGCTTTAAGGCTTTACCAGCCAATTTTGTTAGGCACTGCAACAACAAATTTGA